ACAATGGAATGCACCAACCCCACAACTCGACAATCATCTGAGAAAAACGATTAGAACGGGCACAACCAAGGAAATCGTCCTACCAAAGTTTCATGAGTTTATCACAGATCGTTATCACTCACACACACAAGTTTTTACCGATGTACAGTGGCACCAAAGGTATCAAAACACGCGCTTTTTTAGTTACGCTGAAATGGTTGATTAAAGATACTAGGTGTCTTCTGAGAAGTTTCTCGAGTTACAACACTCCTTCTTATTGTAAAAGAAAATTAAAGATTAATTCACCTTAAAGTGAGATGCAAAATTTATTTTGACGTTGGATAACGTCTTTCGGCAACATACGGGGGTACAAAATTGAAAACAGTCATTTTGGATGCGTTACGAAAAATTAAAAGATTTTGAACGATAATAACTCAACCGTCTCTCGATAGATTTACGAGATAATGGCATCAATCGATTGGAAATAATTCTAGCAATTTGCTGAATGTTTCAAAACTATTGATTTCATTCTGTAAACTATTGAAAAATGGTTAAAAGTAAACCATTGTCTAAAGATGGTGAAAATCGATTGATTTTTTTATATTCTTATGCTTTCTCCAACCGAGACATCAGATGCGAGTATCTAACACCTCTGATATTTTCTGTTCTACTATATAAGCGTCCAACAAGGTCGCCCGTTCCATCATTGTCTATCCGATCGTCGACCCAGCAGCAGAGCAGCAGTACAAGAGCAGCGGAAGCAGAGCAACGGTAGCAGAGCAGCGGCAGCAGAGCCTGGGGGCGAAAGGGCAACTACGCCGAGTACGTTGGTGCCAGTGCTCCGGTATACTGGACCGCCGTCATGGAATGCCCAGCTGCTGCAGTATTCACCGTCTGCTCCGCAAGGGCAACTACGCCGAGCGCGTTGGAAAAATGGCCCTTTTCAGGCCCAACATTATCAAGAAAGAGTTTAACGTACGTATGCGAGTATCTGACACCTCTGATATTTTCTGTTCTACTATATAAGCGTCCAACAAGGTCGCCCGTTCCATCATTGTCAACAACATCAGCCCAACAAAACGGCCCTTTTCAGGGCCACCAAACTTTCGCAAAAGAGTTATTAAGGAATATTCCTAAAATATAATATACACAATTAAGTACAACACATAACAGACGTTATCTAACGCCAACCCTGCGGTCGTATCTAGTATACAACCCTTCCAACTTTTTTTTTAATATGATAAGATACAAAATAATTGTGTTCGGCAAAGCTGTAGAAAACATTACTGTGAACAACTTTGCTCAAGACTATAATTTTTTAGCTCTTATAACTGCTGAGATATAAAGGTTTTTTTTTTTTGTGGAGACATCGTTAAAATCAGTTTTGTATCTGTAACTTTTTCTACAATATTTCTACATGTTTGACATGTTGTACAAAGATGTTAGAAATATTAAATTACATATCTTTAAAGGAACTGCAAATTGCTATCATTAATATTTGAAAGTTATTTAGATTTTTTGGTTGAAAATTACCCAACTTCCAATACCAATAACTTCTAAACGGGCAAAAACGAGCAGGCCATTCTTTGAGCAATTGAAAGTACAAGAAAATGCAATAAAATGGTGAAGAAACCAGACCGCCCCCACGTGACCCTTAACCGAACCCTTAACTTAACCCTTGCATTGAAACTTGTCACTTTTCAGAATTTGAAACAAATTAAAACTCAATACGTTCGTCATACAACCTTTTTGCAGTAAATCAATCTTGAAGAGTTTTAAAAATATACTCTTGAGAACCTTCTCCAGGATGGGCCAACTAGACAGATTCTAGTCTTAATGAGGTTTTGGTGGATACATCAATGGCAAAGTAGCCTTGACCAGGGTTTTATGAAAGTTGTTTTATAGTAGTTTTGTATTACATGTACTTCATAAAACTTAAAATGTTACTTGGGAAGTTCCAGTCCAAGACGCTATACATGCTATCAAACACAAAATATGGGCTACCTGGGGCGGGAACCATCAATCAAGAGATCTACGTCCAGGAGTGCCTGGAAAAGTGACTGCTACCATTCTTAAAGCAACATAATAGACCTGTGCTGTTCTGGCCGGACTTGGCGAGCTGTCACTATGCAAAAAAGGCAATCGAGTGGTACGATGCGAACAACGTGGTTGTGGTACCCAAAGACCACAACCCTCCCAACAACCCAGAACTCCGCCCTATGGAACGGTATTGGGCCTTGCTCAAACGGAATCTCAAAAAAACTAATAAATCCATGGAAAACGAGCAGCAGTTTAAATCTAACTGGCGAATAAGGTCGATGAAACCACTGTGCAAAATTTAATGAAATTATGAAGAAGGTGTTAAGCGGCAGTTCGGATTTGGCAAACCAAAACAATAAACGAACATTTTACCCCTTAAATATATGATTTGAACTACCAAAAGAAAAATAAGAATTTTTTTGTTGCATGAATTTTGACTGAAAGAAACGATTTTTTGTCGTCGAATTTTTGCGCGTTTCAGTCTTCGCAATAAAACAAAGAAACAGCAGTTCTATATTTTCTCAAATATAGCAGTTTTTACAGTGAAATTTAGTATAAACTATTGTAATAATAATAATAATTTAAATAAAATATATAACTTCATAAACCTAACCCTAACTTTATTAAAACTTGTATGGTAATTTTGCTAAACGACGTGTTCAGGGTATCATCTAAACCATTTTTGGAATAGTTCTATCGTTCGGGCTATCATTCTGGCATGGTATTGATTTTACTAGGGAAGGGAAAAAGCTCTATAATATTCATTGAAATCCTGTGTATTGTAAATAAATTTAACAAATAGATTGTACTGAATTTATGCAAGGGTTGTTTAGCATAGCATAAACCAGGTTGCACAATGTCTTAGGTGGTACGAGCTCCAAACTGTTGTTAAGAAGGAGACCAACCTTCATCCGTTGCTGTTAGATAGTAATTTGTGATTAATTACTACCTCTTAGATAAAGGATGTGTCTACCTCTAACAGATCAGAGCTGTCCTGGCCACGTCCTTGCACCTGGTGGGGAAAGAGGAGGAATGTTAATCTGAAACTTACTTAAGAGAGATGCAGAGAACTCTACGACCCCTCATAAGTGTCACGGGAAGGGTGGATTTTTGTTAGTAGGGAGGGTAAACCATAGGTTACGCCCAGCCGGCGTTGCTGGCAATCGTTATATCAGGCATTTAATAAATCGAAGCTGTAAGTAGTTTATCTGTCCGTTGTTGCTGCCCATTACCTAAACATATTATTCAAAACAGTCTTCAGATTTTGGAATTAAGAAACGTTATCAGCTCGATCCTGTTGCTCCTTTGCGCCTGAAAATGTTTATTGATCCTAAACATATTCACAATTCATTCTGATGTGTCAAAGGTTATTATTAGTATGTGGAATCGTAGATTAGAATGAAGATTACAAAATTATCGTTATCGTTAACATGATCTAAGACATTACCCAACAAACAATTGAGAGCTCTTATAAAACACCTGAGTTGATCAAACGTTGAATAATAGCTTCCAGAGTTGAACAAGAATGTAGTTGTATTGCCATTTGATTAAAAGTTTTAAAAGCTGTTGGAGCACTCTTAAATGATTGTTTACGTTCGGTTTAACTATATGCTTTATAAGACCTACGATAACTTTTATAGCACCTTAGTTAAACTGATTCACAAGAGCTATACAGAACGTGGAATAAACGCATCAAAACAAACAATTGGGAGCTCTTATAAAACACCTGAGTTGATCAAACGTTGAATAATAGCTTCCAGAGTTGTACAAGAATGTATTGTATTGCCTTTTTGGTTAATTAGATGGATATTTCCTATCGAGGACAGAGGAACGAAAAGGTAAATAAACTTAGCTGAGCGTAGCAACGCGTAGGTTAGAACAGTCGGCACCACATGCAACGGAAAGGAATTTGAAAATTTTCACTTAATGCATTTTTCAACATCACTTCTGTTCTTTTTAAATTAACACTTTTTAAAAATGAAATTGTAAATTTATAACATTTTCACTAGAACGAGAACGATGCAGCAAAATAAATTCACGTCATTTTCGCAACGCGGCCTACTTCGATCCTGAATTTATGTTAGGGTTTGATTATTCCTTAAATGAAAATACACATGTATTATTTACTCATCACTCATGAACTTTTTTTTTGCAAGGCGTCTGCTTATTAGTTGACATATACATTTTATGAATAAACAGCAATAAATATGTGACAAAAGGTATAAGGGGATTTCCATCCGTGTAGATTGAGAAACGCTGTATTGTAGTGTCATGATTTTTCATGATAGTTGATGCTTAGTTTACAGTTGATCCTTATCTTCATCTTCCCTATTAGTTGGCAAATTATGGAGAACAACAAGGTTAAAAACTTCCTCAAGGACACCATATCGCTGTATTATTGAATGAAAACATAATTTTGTTTATTCCATCAAATATGTCTAATATTCCAGAAACTGTTAGTTAAGAGATTAAATCTAAATTGTGCCATTTTTTTCATTTGATAAAAAAAAAACATTCCCTACAACACTGCTTAGCTCGCCTATCATCACACACGATAAGCCCGTTTCCTGTGCATGCTTTGATGGTGTGGCAACAGTGCAACAACTATACGTGCGACACCCGATCACTGTAGCTTGTTTATGTGCCTACGTTCGTCCGATCACCACCCTCCCATCCACCCGTTCTTCTTGCTCGCAGCCTCCTCAGCAGTTCAGCACACAGAGAGCAGTTGGAACAAAAGACTGCCCAGATTGAGAGAATGAACCACCATCGCAAACAGACACACACAACATCCCGAGAGTGTGTTGTTATTTTCTGTTTTGCTTTGCGCCCGCTTCAACCCTCCACCCCTCGATCGACGACTCGATCGATGCAATGCAGCAAACGGAGAGACAAACGAAAACAACATCAACAACGGCATGAGCTCGATCCCTGCCGAACGGCAACGGCGTCGTCGTCGTCTCGTCAGTGGTGCATTTGCAGTGCGATCGTTTAGACGTGATTGAGAATTTTTCCTCCTCGCTGGGTTCGTTCGTCCGTCCAGGCAAACAAACAGCAAGCGGCGACGTAAACTTTGATCGAAACAAAACGGTGTTTGTTGTTTGGTGTTTTCTTCCCCAATGTTACGTTCTTCGGTTTCGCATTCGTGCCAGTGTGTGAGAACGCGATCGAGTGCAGTTTTCGTCTAGCTGCTGCTTCAGGTTAAGAAAGCTAGAAGAAATCACAAGAAGAGAAACAAAAATCACGGTTTTTGGGAAAAAGCTACGATCACGTTTGAAGTCGTTCTAAAGTGCGCTAAGTAAGGAGCCAAGACAACGTGAGTGCAATTTGTTGATTTTGGCGCGAACAGTGCGTTTGGGGATTGGAAATAGTAGGATAGGGTGAAAACTATCACTCAAGTGGTGCATCGTGTGTGCAATTGGTTCATTGAGATCAATTGAGATCAACCCGACTGGAAGAGAAGACAGCAATTGCGCAAAACAACGACAGTAACTCAGTAACAATTGAGTGCAATTGTCTTGAATGTGCGTAACATTTACCCACGGAACGGGGAGTTTAATCAGCGAAAAATGAATTTTCATCAATTTATGAAAAGCCCCGATTAAGATTACATTCGAGCAGCAGCCCGTCTTCGCACGACAATCGTAATACAGGAGGAAAGATTGATCCTCAGTGTTTAGCACCGTAAAACAAAGTGAGAAAACAAGTGTGTTCAAAGTGAAAATACTCAATTACTTAGATTAGAAGAAGTGACACAGCAATGGCAATTCCATTTTTGCAACCGGAAGAGGACGACAGCGCCCGGCACGGTAATGGTGCGAATGGCGCCCAACCCGGTGGTGCCGGAAATAGTAGTAGTGTGGGTGGTGGAGCAAGTGTTGGCAATCACATTGCCGGTGCCGCCGCCAGTGGAAGCGTAGCAGTGGTGGTTGCTGGTGCTACCGGTCCTCTGCCGATTCCGAACTCGCCGGCACCCAGTGGGACATCAACCGCAGTGCAGACGCCACTGATTGGGCCGATGAACGGCGATCAGTTGGTGCAGCTTTTCTACGAGGCGTTGTATCGCTACTCGAGAGGAGGTAAGTGCTGCTCGGTGGGATTCTGATTTGTCATTGCATTTGATTGGGATCTATGGGATGGGGCTGGGAGATTATCGCTAGGAAGGAACGTTTAGAATTAATTCAAATTATTTCTGATAGAACGTTGAACTGGGCCGTCCGTTTGAGTGATTCAAATTGAATTGGTGATATTTTAAGTTCCACTTTGAACAATGCTTCTATTATAAGAGAAAATGCAAGTGAAGGCAGCAACTGATAAGAAGTCTCAATAATCCCTTTTTGTTCAAACAGGAACTCGTGCATTGGAATTTATTTACAACTTGGGTGATCAAACAAAGTCACCACTAAATTGCTTATCAATGTTTTACAAATACGCGATTAACTGTACTTAACCAGAATCACCCTTCACTCACGTTTTAAACCACCAAGCCTTAATGCAAATGAGTATGTATTGCTAAGTAGACCGACTGACTGAGTGCGGTGAAAGAAGCTCTCTTCTCATCGCTTGTCGGCCTGTCCACTGCAAACACTTCAGGAATTAATTTATTCGCAATGGTTCACTCGACAATATTCCCTTAATGCATCGCCACTGCGCGGAATACACAACCACTACACCGTCGAAATGCAAATATTTACATTAACAACCAATCGAACTGCTAGTTGTTAGCTAATGAATACAGTTTCGTTTGCTCGTCGCTTGATGGATGTTATTTATTTTAATTCAATATTTTGTAGACTTTAACACGTTGTCGTAGCAGTTGTCGCTTGTTCGGGCTTAGGGAGTTAGTTGTACATGCCAATCATAAATCCAGTAGCAAGGGACCTTAGAGAGAATCTGGTGGGTTTCGTTGAATAATCTACGTGACTCCCTTTGTTGGTTCTTAATAACTTTGGGGACGATTCTGAATACTTTCAGATGGCTGACGTGCTCTTCAATAAGGTTCTGTGAACTTCGGAATATACTAGGAGTAAGGGGGTGTTGGTCTAGTGAATGCCCACCTCTTATAATTCAGTAATACACTATTTAATCATTTCTGTTTGATAATCAGCCAAGTTCTCGCGGAGAACGAGTATTAATTGCGGTCAAAGCTCATCTCAACTGTGAGGCTATTCCACTGTAGAATTGTGACCACCTTGAGCAAGTCGCCGTCCGTGTACGATTGAATTCTCGATATCTTTATTTTGTCGCTATTTACCTTCCACCAAACTCATGTGCCGACCTGTACTCTGCACACGCTGACGCAGTGCAGCATATTGCAAACTGTGCTTCTGCCGCTGACATAATTGTATCTCTGGGTGACTTCAACCTCCCCAATTTGCGTTGGCAATTGAATGAGGATGTAAATGGTTTCATTCCCTTGAACGCTTCTTCCGAGCATGAACAGGCACTCACTGAAACTATGTTTGCTACTGGTTTGCAGCAAGTTAACCGATATGTGAATGCGAACAGAAGGCTTCTCGATCTTGTATTCGTCAGTCTTCCAGAGCGACTAGACCTCATTGAACCCACCACGCTTCTGTTGCCCGTAGACAATCACCACATGCCATTTGTTTTGCTGTTCGATGAGAGTATCGACGATTTAGTAGTACAGAACGAGTCGGACGATAATCTTTACTACGATTTCCGCTCGTGTGATTTTAGTCAGTTGAAAACGGCTATAGCTGCCATTGACTGGGATTCCTTACCGCTAACCGGGCCATTGGATAGAACATTATCAGCATTCTATGACAAGCTTTATGCAGTGCTTAACGACTATGTTCCTCGGAAAAGTCGATCGTTCAATTCAGTTTCCAGCAAGCCATGGTGGACCTCCAAACTACGGCCTCTTCGTAACATCTTAAGGAAAGCACGTCACCGTTTCTTCCTTTCGAAGTCTGAGAGCGACCGTAATTACCTTCGCGAAGTAGAGCTGCAGTACAAAACAATTCTATTATCCACGTACGACAACTACTTACTCAGGATCCAGGACAGTGTAAAACAAAACCCATCGTGCTTCTGGGATTTCGTGAAAAAACGGCAAGCATCTTCTCGCATCCCATGCAACGTTACCTTCAATGATTCCCAGGCTAATACAAATGTGGATGCTGCAAACCTTTTCGCCATGTTCTTCGAGAGCGTTTTTAGTAAAGTGTCACCTGTACCAAGGTGCGATTGTTTTGCTCACGCTCCTTCGCACAACATCAACCTACCCGTTATTCAGTTTCCCGCAAAAGAAGTAGTAAAAGTCACCGATGAGCTTGACATCAAAAAAGGACCTGGGCTGTGGCTGAAAAACTGTTCAAGAGAACTAGCTACAAGAAGATATTGATACTATACTGGTATGGTGTGGCGATAACGACATGCGGGTCAATAACATGAAGTGTAAAGTTATTACCTTCGGTCGCTGCAATAACCACATTCTTCATCAATACAGAATGAAAACTGCATCATTGAAACGTGTGTCGTCCATCTGTGACCTTGGCTTTACCATCGATTCGAGGCTCAGATTCAACGAACACGTGAGCACTACCACTGCCAAAGCTTTTTCTGTGATGGGATTCATCCGTTGCCACGCTTCCGAGTTCACCGACATCCACGCTTTAAAAACTCTCTATTGCTCGTTGGTTCGTAGCATTCTGGAGTACGCTGATCCGATTTGGTCCCCTTATTATGTAGCTCATGTTCTCACGAATGAACGGGTGCAGAAAAGGTTCTTACGGTTTGCACTGAAACAACTTCCTTGGAACGATCCGACCAATCTTCCTCCTTATTCTGACCGATGCAAGCTCATAGGATTGGAACCACTATCTGTCAGACGAGTAACGATGCAGCGGCTATTTATTTTCGATGTCATTGTAGGATCTATCGATTGTTCTGAACTTCTCGCACAGATCCCGCTTAACATTCCTCCTCGACGGTTTCGAAGCTCAGCTTTAATAGCAGTCCCATACCACAGAACAAACTACGGCTACAACAACCCTTTTGATTCGTGTCTTCGCTTGTTCAATGTTGTCTGTGACGAATTCGATTTTAACTTGACTAAAAACGTTTTTAGAAACAGGATTAGTAGTAATTTCTAGTTTATAAGTAAAATTGTTCAGTCTGTACGACTAGTCGAAGACGGTGATAAATAAATTAGTTTACACAGTTTGACAAACAACAATGAGTATTGCAAGGGTCTTTTAAAATTTTCCAAGGCCCAGACCTTAGATAACTGTTTTAATTCTTTCATAATTCATCAAAGTTCCAGGTTTTTTTTTACGGAATCATGGACAAAAAGTCGAAGACCACTATGACTAGTGAAAAACGGGTGACAGAACGTAGAAATTGGTTTAGGAACTAAAAAATAACGAAATCTATGAAATATTAAAAGCCTCCGATAGCCTAGCCAGTAAAGGCACGGTATTACCAAAGCCAGAGGCATCATGTTCCATTCCAGGACCGGTCGAGGAAATCTTTCAGGTTGAAAATTTTCTCAACTTCCCTAGGCATAGAGTATCATTGTGCTTGTAGTAATACAAGTTCATGCATTGGTTGGCATGGAAAGTCTGGAGGGGGCCTAGGGGGGGCCTGTTGCATTTTTCTTATTTTGCTAAGACATTAAGCCTTACTTTTATGTTAATGGTGAAACAATAAATTTGATTATATTTATTCCATAGCAACGATTATGACCTCGATTGGGGGAGCCTTAAAAGCTTACTGAATTTGAACAAGCAATGATCCTTTGTTTATGCTTTTTGTAATGAAATCACATTGCGTCCGGATGTCATAAATTTAAGCATATCAGAGCTACACACTTAGAAATACTTAATTTTACACGTGACGGAATCCATCTTTGACATAAAGGATGAGACGTAAACAAACATGTCATGTAAAATTAAGTGCGCCGAGACTGAAAAGTTCGTTACTCGATGAAAAGTACGTTTGATTGAGCTGAATTTTGTGTCTATTATGACTCAATTTTAGGTCATAATTGACGCTCGTATATGTCAGTCTCAGAGCACCTAAATTTACATGAATTTTTCTAAGTGTGTAGGTTATTCCATGAATTTTGTAACTAGCGTTTTTAAGATTCTGAATATTTCATCACCAGTGAAATCTTAGACATAAGAACCAAAATTAAATTCTAGGAGTTTGAATTTTAAATATGGTGTAGAGCACACGGAATAAATTTCATGCATTTAGGACATCTGGCAAAAATTATGAAAAGTAAGGTTATAATTTGCCACGTTTATTATATTTGAAGAGGAGAGAACATTCGGAGTTAATCAAAATTTAACTTTATTACTAATCAAAACGAATGAACTCGAAACTTAAATGATTGTGTTCCTGACTGCAACTAGGTAATAATTGAATTTATTTTTAACAAAAGGATTGGATTTTTTTTATATTTTAAATGAAATAAGTTTTGGTTAAACCATTTAACTATTTACACAAGCTTTTGATTTATTTAATAAAAAATACACTAAAAAAGCACGGACTTTCAAACTATTCTGCAGCTGAATTCCGGGCATATATTTCATCGAGAAGAAAGAAATTGATACATATTGGATACTTGTAGAAATTTCCATCTCTTCGTTGAAATTTATGCCCGAAATTCAGCTGCTGGAGTGCTAATTCTTGACAATATAGCTAAATCACCAAGGCACGGGTCTTTCCTATGGATAATGTAGAAACATGGCCATAAAATCTAGATACATCAACCAAGATTCCATCAGTTTCAATTACCTGGAAAACATTTGAATACCGTAATCCGGGGATAAATTGATCATTATTTAAGATGATTCCCTGTTGAGTCCACAAATGGCCACCACGTGAGCTATAAATGCACTTTCACCTCGTAGCAAACGTGGAGTAACAGTTTCTCTGGTACGTATCGTGGAAGCTGATATTTGTTTATTTAAATTTTCGAAGTGGTAGTGAGACTAAGGATCTTACAGCGAAACACCTTATCGTAAATAAATAAATTTCTACAACAAACTACATTGAAAAACTAATGGTAATTTTATCAGTACCTATGAGAGTTCCATCGTCCTGTAGG